CATTTTGTTATATGAATACACTGTCTCATCACCAGTATTTATTAAATTGTAATGATCTTTACAGACGACTGGATTCTAATAACTGATTTGTGATTGTGAGTTATTATGGTTAGTTGTTATGATGACAGATGCTAGAAACTCAGGAAACACTCAGTCAGCGGCCACATGTCATCATCCATTGTCATTGAGAGGCAGACAACTGGTTACCGTAACAACTGAAGAACTTAATTGTAGTAAGTGTAAACAATGTCTCTTTATAGTTATGTGTAGTGAGTACCATTCTGGTTATGTCATGCACACTTGTCACATTAGTGCCTCACACCCATCTGTGTTGTGGAGATACACTGACCTACTTGTTTTTTTCTCCTTCTTCACATCATAGTATATGTTCTTAGTTTACATGTACATGCATGTAACTGCTGTACCCACCCTCTCTCTTTCACAATCTCTGTTTCATACATCCCTTAGTGATCCAAAATAAGTGTGTGTATTATTTAAATATAGATCAAATGGATATTAATATTTTGTTGTTTCAGTTGCACCACATTTTGTGATGGAACCTTCTGATGTTGATGCAACGTACGGTAACCAAGTGTTCTTTAGTTGCCGTGCAACTGGTGATCCTAAACCAGATATAAAATGGCTTCACAATAAGTAAGTATATTCATACTCCATGACACTGTGTTTATATATATATATAAGTATAAGACTGTCAACGAATATGTGTTTCAGTTGTTTGTAGTCGGGCAGCTCTTCAGCTTTGTATACTCCAATTGAGATTTGATGTCAGACGAATTTCAATAAGAGAAAGTTTACTCTATCAGTTCCATTTTGATTTACGACAAATAAATAATAATAATCACTTGTTTTGTAGTGTCAGTTGAGCCAAATACAAACAGGAACTATGTCATTGACAATGACTTGTTTTAAAGTGTGTTAATAGATGCTGAAGATGGTAACTACAATGTATTAGAGGACGGTACATTGATGATTCCCCATGCAGAAGATGATGATGAAGGTACATATGAATGCATGGCAAGAAATGCCGCTGGACAAGCTGTTACAAGAGTTGCTGAGTTACGCTACTTGGGTAAGCAAAGTAAGTATACACAAGGTACATTAGTATGTAAGTATACACAAGGTACATTAGTATGTATGTATACACTAG